AGCTCCAATATTGATAAATATTTATAATATATACTGGAGTTTCACAACTACCCGTTTAACTACGTGAAGTGGCGTTATAGTGTATGTGAAAAACGCGATATGAAGTGGCGAATTACAGCGGACAGATCACTCCACGCGTTATTCACAGCTCATATGCGTTTTTCGCCAAGTGAAATATGTTTTTCATATCACTAGGGTCAAGAAACCCCAATAATTTAACCAATTCCAATGGAGTTTCACCCATTAATTTAACCCGTTTTACGTGAAGTAGCATAAAACTCGGTGAAAACGCGATAACCGCGCTACACAGTAGTCCTGAAATATGTTTTTCACAAGTGTTTTTCATATCGCGGGTGAAACTCCAATAGCTTTGCTTTCTCACTCTCCTTCTACTACCACTTTTCTCCCTTTTTTCTATCAATAGTTTCAACTGCCAGCCGCGGCTGGGTGTCACCATCTCGATAAAACTACAATTCCTTTATATATCCCCAACCTAGTAAGATCCATTGGAGTTTCTCCACCCTAGTGATATGGAAAATATATTTCACGACTACTGCATATCACCGCGTTGAATATCGCGTTTTTCGCCGAGTTTTACGACGCCACTTCACGTAAAACTGGTGAAACTCTATCGAAATGGAAAAAATCTCACTTATTTTATAAACCATATTTTGTATAAAATTTTTTCCTCATAAAACCACAAATTTAACCGTCACCAACTGAAACATATCAATTCCCCATTTGCTGCTATTACGACACCATTATAGTTGCTGTTTTCTTCACCTCCAAATCTTACTTTTAAAAAGTCTCGAATAATAATTATATTCCCTTTCTACCCTTTTGCACTCGCAACACAACAAATGTAAATATACCTTGAAAAAATATATTTCGAGTAGTGGTCAAACTGGTGAGTTTTATTTTCAAACTCCTATTGTCCTCCAACCTCAAAAATAACTCCATCATCATCATCAATGAAATAACAATTTTCTACCCTTCACAAAGAGTTGCAAAGTGTACGCCTTGAAAGATTTCATGTTCTCTTGCGTATGCCACACTGAATAACTTCTCACTGCATAAATATATAATTACAGTCTACTACTATAAACCCTTTTATTTTTAGAAGCTTCGAATGAGAAAACTTGGTATTACGAAACTTGGTTTTCATACACAGTGTTTCGGTAAAAATGTGTTTCGGAAACACATACAGCAAAGGCTTGAAATTTAATGACTAGCAACATCCCTGAAAAGACACCGTTATAGTTGTTGTTTTATTTTGCCCTTCAAAATTAAGAAATCTCACTCTTACAAACGTTTTCAGATAACAAATATTCTTTTTCTTCCCTTTACCCTAAATATACTTTGAAAAAATCAATTTCGCGATTAGGGACATCAATTTCGCGTGCTAATCTTATTTTCAAATTCCTTTCCCCAAGCTAAATCGAATAACTCCATCATCATCAATAAAACAACAATTCCCCACACATAATACAACACATTTATTCATCACCAACAGAAACATGCCGAACTATCATTGCTATTATGGCTGTTGTTTCCTTTTCCTAGCGACCACTATAACTTTCTCATCATCATCCTTCTGCCCGATTGCGTTACTCGTAACAAGATCAATGGTCCCCCAACCGGAGGGCGTTAGAGGGGCCTCCTCACCCTGATGGGAAAGAAACCAATCGCAACAATGGAGATACCAAAAAGGATCTATAATGAAGTTCAACACTGGAGGTTCTTCAACCTAGTGATATGAAAAACACTAATAAAAGACTAATTTCATACGTGAGTTTTAATATAATGCCACGTAAAAAACGTGATAAGGGTGCAACTTCATGCGACATCATATCACATTCGCGTGAAACGAATGAAATTACAATAAAGTTTCTTCACCCTAGTGATATGAAAAATATATTCCACGACTACTGCATATCATCGCGTTGAATATCGGGTTTTTCACATGGAGTATTACGCCACTTCACATGTACAGCGAATTTACTCCCGTAGACGCACAAAGAAGGGTAGCAGTAAAACACTAAACGAGTGGAAATTCACGCGAACTTGCAAAAAAAAATTAATGAGGATGATCAAACAGTGTAAAAATACATATTAATGTCAATCGATTTTTTCCTATGACGATTCTCAGGAATGTATTATTTTTAATATACAACCACATATAATAGAAACTAAATATTTTCACGTAAAAGTTACTCTCACAAATTCTCCAATTTTCAAAGATAATCACCTCAATGTCATCATCCCATCCTACGGGTAGATCATATTCTTGTCGAATTCGTTCTCGTATAAGGCGCCTCCTGAAAAAAACAAAATATAAAAAAAACATATTTCACGTCTACTGTGTAGTGTGAATATCGCGGTTTTCGCGGAGTAATTTTATGATTATATATTGTATTATTTAAATTATAACATACCTCGTTTTATCATATATCGATATAGATCTAAAGGTAATATATTTATATGTAACACCACCCCATTAGAAGTTGATCTCGTTGTTACTACCTCCTACTGTAGAAGCTCTCACCAGGAGTCAGGCAGGAGACCGAATATGCGAATGCTAGGAGAATCAATACATTCATGGTGAACCCAGAAGGGTCCTGAAACATCAATTCACCATTCAATGAGATGAACCGCCATTTTATGGAGTAGAGAAAATTATCAGGTGGTGTTGGAGTAGGAATATACGTCTGCTTACCTCAACTGAGCTCAGGAGTTTCCTCACTAATTATAGGGAATCGGGCAGAAGTATACAGAAATTGATGAATTTCTCTCGGAATTTCCACCTAGAATTTTCATATTGTCAGTATCACATGTAGTTGACAATGTGCATATTTCTAACCAGTGTGAGAAAAATCTATGTTTCCTTCCCTCAGCTGCTGAGCTCAGGAGTTTATATACAAATTCGGGTAGAAGTATAATACAGAAACCAACATGAATTTGCTCATTCTTTGTTACCAACACATGTAGTTGACCATGTCCATATTTATCCCCACTGGAAAATTGGAGTTTCACCCTAGTGATATGAAAAACATATATCGCGACTATTGCAAGGCGCAAATATCGCGTTTTTCACCGAGTTTCACGCCACTTCACGTAAAACGGGTTGTGGAACTCCATTGTAATGTAATTAATGACTTCAGATGAACGAAAAGTTTATTATACAAATTTACTATCACGTCGAGATCTCCTACAGTAAACAAAATCCCCCCGCAGATTTCTATCACCTTTGACGGGCTGACGAAGAATTTGTTTGCTGCATACGGGCCTAGTTTCCAATCCTTAGGGGGCATCCTTCCTTGATCTAGTTTTTTGTGAGCCTGACAGACAGTCATTGTAGACGATTAAAAGATATAATGGAGTTCCACAACTACCCGTTTTATGCGGTTAAGTGGTGACGCGATATTCAACGCGGTGATATGCTGTAGTCGTGAAATATATTTTTCACTAGTGTTTTTTTTCATATCGCTACTACCAAAAATGCGGAAAAAATTTGATTAAAAAATGATTTTCGACCAGCATATATACTAAGGAATAATATAATTATCCTCCTCTTCCTTTATTAAATCGAGGGTCAAGAAATTTTTTCGATCAATCTGTATGATAAGGAATGGAATTGTGATTGTCTTTTCTTCTTTACACATTAATTTTTTCACCAGTATGAATGATAATGAATGGTATCATTGAGTATTGTCCTTTTCTGCCTCCCCGCCCTCTACAGTATGATTTATCGACCAGTCCATATACTAATAAAGCACTTTCATTGTCCTCCCTCCTATACTAATAAAGCACTTTCATTGTCCTTCCCCCCTATACTAATAAAGCACTTTCATTGTCCTTCCCCCCTATACTAATAAAGCACTTTCATTGTCCCCCCTATACTAATAAAGCACTTCCATTGTCCTTCCCCCTATACTAATAAAGCACTTCCATTGTCCTTCCCCCCTATAGTAATAAAGCACTTTCATTGTCCTTCCCCCCTATACTAATAAAGCACTTCCATTGTCCTTCCCCCCATACTAATGAAGCACTTCCATTGTCCTTCCCCCTATATTAATAAAGCACTTCCATTGTCCTCCCCTCCCCCCTCTCCCTATACTACCTGGAATCGAGGGTCATTCTCCCAGCTAGCCCCTCCAGTGTTGGCATTTGCCGTGCCGCTGCCGCTCCCTTGTGGACCAAAGGGTGGTGGTGGGTCGAACTTGGTGGAGGCGAAAGCTCTGATGGAGGAGGGGGAGGAGGGGAATTTGAATCGATGGTGGAGTGATGATATCATAGGGGGATAAACTGAGGTGATTTTTATGCAACTTTATAGGCTTCAATTAAAAATGAGGGAACGATATGCCATAGCATATCTTGTTGACTTGAGCAGAGCAAACGATTTTTATGCAACTTTATAGGCTTCAATTAAAAATGGGGGAACGATATGCCATAGCATATCTTGTTAGGTTCCTGAACCAAAGGGTGGTGGTGTGTTGAACTTGGTGGAGGCGAAAGCTCTGATGGA